TGTGAAGTTTTGGGAAGGTTTGTGAAGGTTTGGGAAGGGAAGGTTTGTGAAGGGAAGGTTTGTGAAGGGAAGGTTTGGGAAGGTTTGGGAAGGGAAGGTTTCGGAAGGGAAGGTTTCGGAAGGGAAAGGATGGTAAGGGAAGGTTTGGGAAGGGATTCTGCCCCTCTGCTCTGGTGGAACCCCACCTGCAGGGCTGCATCAGCTCTGGGGTCCCAGCACAGGAAGGACATGGACCCCTAGAAGCAAGTCCAGAGGAGGCCATGAAGATAACCAAAGGGCTGAGCATCTCTCCTCTTCAGATAGGCTGTGGGAGCTGGGCTGTTCAGCCAGAAGAAGAGAAGACTCTGGGCAGGCTTACAGTGCATTCCAGTACCTGAAAGAGGTTCAGTACTCCTACAGGAAAGCTGAAGAAATACTTCTTATGAGGACATGTAAGGATAGGACAAAGGGGAATGGCTTTAAACTGAAAGAGGATATTAGGAAGAAATTCACTTTGATGCTGGTGAGGCACAGGAACAGCCTGTCCAAAGAAGCTGTAGATTCCGCCCCCTGGAAGTCTTCAAGGCCAGGTTGGATGGGGTTTTGCACAACCTGGTCTTGTGGAAGGTGTCCCTGCCCATGGCTGGGGGTGAGAACTTGATACTTAAGGGCTCTTCCAACCCTAATCATTCTATGATTTTATAGAATCATAGGGTGAAAGGTTTTCACCCTTTTTGGACATGTTTCGACCAGCCCTCTGAGAAACTTTTACTTTTCTTACAACCATGCTGTTATGCATCAGACATCCCAAACAATTTCCAGCTCCCAAGTCCTAGTTGTCAGGCAATGGAATTTACCAGCTTTTCCACTTCTAGGGTGAAACAAGCCTCATACCAATGACTAACCCTGCCATCTAGTGGTATATATGCATTTATCACATTTACCACCATGGCATCCCTGTGTTTTCTCAGAACTTTAGACACATCGTCACTTTGTGGTAGCTACACTTTGAAAGACTTGCAAAAAAATTCTACAGGTATGCTGGATAGCAGTGCTGTTACAAGCGTATCCCCTTTATAAAATTAAGTAATTTTTACTGACAGCGTTTCAATTTTTTTTGTGAAAAATGCTTCAGAAAACCAAACCTTGAATATATCTATATATAGCTGCTTAAATGGTAAGGATGTGATTTTTTGAGCCTCGCTGGTTGGGACCTTGTATCTAGAGAGTGCTCTGTAGTGGCTGTCTCTGATACAATGAAAGGTGACCTGAGCATCACGTTCTCCTCCTGTCAGTCATGGTGTTGTGCAGCTCCACAGGGCAGAGCAGGGCTCTGAGGGAGAGGAAAGGTGAAGGGAGGGACTGTTCTCTTTTGGCCACTCCCAAGGCCATATCTGGAGCTGCCAGGTACCAGCTGGGTCTGACCACCAAGAACCCATCACAGCCTGGTCAGCACAGGAACACACACTGCAAGGGGTATGGCTGAAAGAACAAGGGTCATTTTTTCCGTGTAAAAAATCCACATTTGCATGTACAGTTATACACATACCTATATATTTACTGTACCTGTATCTTGGGTGAATTATTGCATATATGATGGGGTTGTAGATTGCAGAAGCTTTGGCAATAACTGCTGGCACAGATTTGGAATATGGTGTTAGGATGTTGCCTCGACTAAAACAAAGCAAAAAAAATTACACACAGCTATGTCATGATTACATGGATACTACATTATTAAACATATTACTCTTTTAAACTGGTTTTGTGCTGTTATATTTTTATAAGAAATACACCTGTAAAGTTGATTCATTCAAGTGATTTCTTTGTTCAGATGAAAGATTCGAATTTCAGAGTGAGTATTTAGTTTCCTTCATTTAGAGAAGATCAAAGACATGAGCAAGTAATTTTAGGATGACTAGGAACACAAAGAATCACCTTCCCTGTTTCTACAATAAACAAAAACCCCCTAAAACCACAAAAAACCCCCACCACTGTGGCCATCCGGGAAAAGTGAATGGTGATAGAAAAGATAACAGAATCAAATTAAAAAAACCCTTTCAGAAGCAGCATGTGTGCTGCAAAATAACGTGTGTCAGTGACTCAGTTCCAAACACTGCAGAAAGAAGAGAGGACTGGAAGTCATTTGAAACCAATATTTCCCTTTAGACTTTCAGTCAGGTGTGACCAATGTCAGCAGTGCAGCATAAGCAGAGTTAATATCATGGTATCATAGAATGGTTTGGGTTGGAAGACACCTTTAAAAATCATCTAGCCCAACCTCTCTGCCATGGGCAAGGATATCTTTCACTAGATGAGCTTGCTCAAAGCCCCATCCAACCTTGCCTTGAAGAGTGAACAAGCACTGACAAGACACTAGGTCCCTTTGGAGCAGACAATGGGTGGAGACAGCCGTGTATGGAAGGAAGGAGGGTATTAGGAGATAAAGGAGGTAACTCCTCCTATTTATACAAAGAAAGCATCATGTGGGAGAGAAAATATCGTGTACCAAATATTAAGATTAAAAAGTCATAATAGTTTCAAAATGCATAGACAAATAACCCTTTTTCTGGCTTTATTCACAAGGATATAGTGAAGAATGAAATACTACCTCTAATGTAGCAATTATTTAAGACCCATTCAAAAAGGAGATTTGCCTCATGTGGATGATAGTACTACTCATATTTGCATAGCCCCTGTTGTTTGGATTCCTCTTCCACTTACCCTGCCCAGGCAATCAAGGTGACACAAGCATATGGAGACCAGGACAAGACAAACACAATGATGACCACAAAAGCAATTTTTGCTAGCTTCCACTCATTCTTCATGGACTGAGAGAGGTAGGATTTCCGGGTGTAGGACCCCAGCTTTTGAACATCTCTGTGAGGGGGGGAAAAACCCAGAAATTTCAGCAGGACAATGACAAAGCAACATCTCTAATATGTTCTAAACAGTATGCAAAATGAAGTAAATTTTGTATTTGAACACCCTAATTCTTCTTTTCTCCTATGATATTTAATAACCCTAGAAGGTAATTAATGTGGTTGCAAGTGTTATGTTTGCCTGTGAGACTGAGTCATAACCCCTGGGACTACAGGACAGGACTGCTGTGTCTTTATTCCTAACACAAGGAAGGTTTCAGGTTGCAAAGATACAGAAATTGGTATCTTTTGCCCTTTGTTGCTTTTAGAGGTGGAGCAAGAAAAGGCACAGCTGGATGGGAAAATCACATCTTACATCTTTTCCTTTTCAAGGAAGGAACAGCTTTCAGAAATTCCAATTCTTGCTGGAATACCCTGACAGCTTTAAGAAACCTGTCCCAAACACTTGCAAGGACATTTTTACTTACCTGCAGATTTATTTATTAAAGAGTATTTTCTTTATGGGAGGTACAACAGGCAGGCCTAATATTGTTGTCATTAAAAATCAAATTCTCTTTTCACACCAAACATCCCATATTTTATTTTAAAAAATGTATATAGTTAGGTATTTTATATACTTTAGCATAGAAATAACAGATTTTACATATTAGTGTTGTTAAAAGGAGATACATTTCAGGCTGAAGACAATAATTACCAGCCAGCAGGGTAACAAAGTCCTGCTGGTGCACTGTAAATATAGAATAGAATCATAGAATCATAGAATGGCCAGGGTTGGAAGGAAGCTTAAAGATGATCTAGTTCCAACATCCTGCCATGATCAGGGACACTTTCAACTAGACCAGGTTCCTCAAAGCTCCATCCAGCCTTTTATGCAAAAGGCATAAAAAAGCTTATGTCCACTGTGCTCCATGGGTGTACAAGACACCATTGTTTTAAGGAGGCATTCCTTCACTTGGTATCAAGTATGCATACACAAAGCACAATAAAAACCAAGACAAAGGCAAAAAAATAGAGTTCAGAAAGAACTTCATTTTAGGCATATAAAAATGTACTTTTAAAAGTGGAATTTAGGCTTATGAAGCCAAATCATTTCAACTAGTGCCTGCACACAGGAGCAGAGAAAAGCCATCAGAACTGATGACACAGTTGAGCAGCAGGAAGGACTCACAGCACCAGCTGGTGTTGGATCAGACCAAAAATAAATCATGTCCTCATTAGCAGAAAAATAACTCATAGAATGATGTTAGTTTACAGATCTAACACCCTGCTGATTTTTCATTTCAAATATAGACCAAATTTTTTGGGGGGAAAATCATCTGAGCAAGCATAGCCAGATACTGTGCATGTAGTTGTGATGCTAGAGGGAAGCATAATAGGTTTTGGGATGCCTGCCTTAAATAAAACTGTCAAAAAATATGAGGACTGTTATGTTTACAGAGCTGCTCAAATGCAGATGATTCCTCCTTGCTTCATGTTTTTTTATTATCCCTTGAGGCTGAAAACTGCTGGAACACACAAGGACATTGTTTCTTGTAGTGCAAATCTGAAACACAAATAATGCAATCCAAGTATCTGATGTACTATTAATTACTACAGTGGAATAAGATTAAAACCACTAGAAACAAATTCTTCTACTCTGAAATTCATATATCCATTCTAGTTTTAAATTGGCAAAAAATACTTCTCTTACAGCTGTCAATTCCAATTTAGAGTAATTTTTGGTTCAGAATTTTCTGCAGCTAAAGAAACCAAGAAAATCTTCTTACACGAAAAGAGATATGTATTTCTTTCAGCTGATTGCTTACCTGCCAGTACGCCTTATGGCCAGGAACATCGATAAATAGCAGTGGAATATTATTACCAGGGGGATAAAAAATACGCAGCAGCATAAGATCATGGTGTAGCTTCTGTTTGCAGGGGAGTAGGTTACATAGTCCCATGTACAAGATATCATCAAGCCCTCAGGCACATAGGAACCTATGGAATGCATGGAACACATTATTCATACATGCACCCAAAGATAGCACAGGTGCTACTCCAACCACAAAGTGCTTAAAATAAACCCTGTCCTGTATCCATGGTCTTCAAGAACTGTGCCAGCCAAGCTACACATCATAAAACGTGGTCTGAGAAGAGAGTGCCCACATGGAGAGGAGGTCTTGGCTACAGAACTCTCAGGTACACACCAAATACTCCATCTGCAGGTTGTTCTGCTTGAATACATCCTGGGTGTAGCAGGGCAGAGTTTGTGTGCAGGGCAGTAGGTGCAGATGTGTGCTACAACAACAAACCATCAGGTGGTGGAAGGGCATCCCTGTGAGGAATGATGAGAAAACTCATATTTTTATTCCCCAAGCAAGATTAAAAAGAGCACACAGGGAATGCTAGGGGAGAGAGAGAGAGAGAGAGAGAGAGAGAGAGAGCAGCCAACATACTCCAGCCAAGGAGCGGAGCCACGCTCCATGCCAGCGAGTAGAGCCACACTGCAGCGATGACCTGCACGGTGCGTCTCTTGGAAGTCCACTGGATGGACTGCAGGGGCTTTGTGATCACCAAGTAGCGGTCCACAGAGATGGCCAACAGAGTCATCATCGAGGTTATCCCAAAGAGAGCCCCGCAGAAAGCATACAAGTTACAGCCTGGAGAAGGAAATAGCAATGTCAGGGGTTTTCTTGAAAAGAGGCACGCTTTCTGTCAGAGCCCATTCTAATAAATCTCCCTTTTTTTCTTTCCTTGCTCAGGACTTCTCTCTCGATAGAACCATTTTCTTAGCTTCACATTTTCATAGTTATTAACTGTTTATTAGGAAAACAAAAATATAAATAAAATACAAATATATGTATTTAAACGAGTCCTACTTCACTGCAGGCTGCAACTAGGAACCTTTTGTCAATGGAAAACTGCCTCAAAGAAAATCCAATCTAATTAAAGTTTTATTTTCCTGGACTGGTGCCCAATATATTGATCTTAACATGCTGCAGCAGACGTCTGTCTGTTAATGATGGATGGGTGGTTCAAGAAATTACTTTGGTTTATGTGGATTAAAAATGTAGAAGTAGTTTAAATTTGGTGACTAAGAGACCAGCTGTAAAACATAGTTCCAACTCTTATATTTTATGGCAGTACTTTTTAAAAGAACTGACATTTTTTACATAATACATTCAGGCATTCAGGCACTGCATTCAGGCACTGCACTACCAGATGGAAAAAGTTACACTGAATTTAATGGAGCAGCCTGTGTGGAAAGATCATCCATTCTTTGAAATCTTGCATTGCCCCATGTGGTTATAGACAAGAGCTCACCAGGAATGTGAGGCAGCAAAAACACCAGATCCAACCTTAAAGCAGAATTCTGAAGTCTATACAAGTAACTTGCAACTAAGGACCAAATCCCACTCAACTCAGATCAAATGCTCCATTTGTGACAGCATGATAATTTGCACTGATTTTATCTAAGGGGTGAGCAAGACTAAAATTATCTTCAAACTGAGGATGAGCCCCTTCTGTGCTGCTGAATAGTGCATGGTCCCTGGGCTTGCTCCACCACTGTGCAGCCACCAGTGGGTGCAAGCTTTCATCCATAATATGATGAGGAGCACCGAACAGCATTGAGCGTCCTGAGGTTCTTGCTATACCCACATTTCAGCTATAATTTCGGCATAGTTCACTTTTTATTTCTTGCAGTTGGAAAGAAAGGAGCTTGAATTTGCTGAGTCCTCAAATGACTATGGTTATTTAAATCTCTTAATTAAATATGAGATTCCTAGAAGCATGCTAATGGATATCAACATACATTTTTAAATAAAAGTAGTAACTAGCCCTTAAAATGATACAGAAAAACTATTTACAACTTACTAAAACTTTTGTTCCTATTTTCAGCCATAACATCGCCCTTACAAGCTAAAGGGTAACATGACTACATGTGGATGTTGACTCTTTCCTTTCCAAGATATGCAAGATAAATCATAGCTGTAATACAAAACATGTGACATCATGCTGACTGATGATGTCTGGAGCTGTGACTCAAGAGATTTGTGCTGCTCTATCCATGGCACAAGCCAAGGCTGTTGTGGCTGAAAACGACTGCAGGCAGCATAAAGCTGGCAAGGTGTGAATTAGTGTTGAAAAGTACCTATGTCTCCAAGTATCCATTCTCTGTGCAAGCTGTTGACAAAGCATATGGGTGCCTGAGAAGCCGACATCAGGAAGTCACTCACAGCTAAATTCATTATAAAGTAGTTTTGGGGTGTCCTCAGCTTCTTGTTGCTTAAAAACACGAGAAATACATAGTTTTAAAAAGACAAAATGGAAAGTTAACTTTATAACTTTGCTTGCTAGCATAAACAAATACTGTCCAGGTTGGAATTGATAGTGAATCAGTTGCTAATTATCAGTAAATTATTGCCTCTATAGCTGTAGTAATTTCAAAATGATTGAAAAGAGCAGGAGCCATAAAATGGATTGTTTCCTCTTCAAGCTAAGGAGAGTTTCAGCTGTCTTGATAAATATGGATTTGTTCAGAAAAGCAGCTCGCTAGGAGTGCTGTAATATTGATTTGTGCCTTGCACTGGACATGAGGTAGATCTGAAGAAAGTTACAGAGCCAAAGGATCTGCTTCTGGTGATACTTTAAAAACTGCTGACCTGAGGTGTTGTGTTGGCACAGTTGGCATGAAGTGGCTGACATACCACTAACTAAATGACCCTTTGCAAAGTGCTACAGCATGAGCAGAGCACAAACTGATTTGGATAAAGTGCTTTTGCTTATATACATCCCATAAGAGACAATGAAAACTCTCAATTGTAGATGAACAGGCAACATTAAACACCACAACAAAGAGTGCGAAAGCAGAGGTCTGCAAGCAAAGCTTATCCAAAGAAAACAACTGAGACCTTTCTTTTTTGCTTTGCAATATCAGTATTTGAAGCTAACACTAATTTTTTTCCTCATATTTTATCATTTTTTGATTAAAAAATACTGAAAAAGAAAGTGACAAAGCCTTCTCAGTGCTGCTGCAATTCTAACAATTTCTTGGATCTCATAACTTCCTGCAATAACCGGGTGAGAGAGAGTGCAGAGTTCACACCTTCGCAGGTGCTCATCTGCCTGTGCAGGTTTTCCTACTTTGACAATTAAATGCTTTTATTACAACAGCTAAACCACACACATTTCAAGAGAAATACAGAGCTTGTGCTCCATTTTAAAAAATCGTGAAGGTGTCTACAGTTGCAGGGAATTCCATTTCTCTGAATCATATTAAAAGCCAGTTATTCAAAATAACTAATTTATTTGTCTTAAACATTTAATAGGAAACTAATACATGGTTCATAGCTTTTGTAAGACCCCACTGTGTCACCATGCATAATGACAGCAAGTAGTGAATGAGGAGGATTTTGAAATTCAGCATCACAGTGTGGGACAGATATTTCTTATATTTCCATGAGATTTTTGCATACTCTAGCTGCAGTAGCTTTGGCTGTCTATTACTCTGCCAAGAGAGCACATAAACTGACAGAAATCCTATAATCTGCCTGAAGCAGGAAATACACAAATACACTGGTGGCATGAGCTCATTTCAGATAGCACATTGCCTTCTTGGTCCTGGGAAGAGTGCAGTGTTTGTCAAGGGTTTCTGCAAATACTACAGGGTAAGTGAGGAAGGCTGAAGCTGCAAGACTGTGGTTTCTATAATTAGAAGTATTAAACCATTCTTTAAACTTTCAATTGGAAATTGTTTATAGAACAAGGTACTATTTTCTCATTTTATTTGATTCTTTAAAACATCAGGAATTTACACTGAGGTTGTCATGCTGCAAATGTATGTGCTTCCATATGTGTAGGGTTGCCTTCTCCTCTCTTTCCCCCCACATTTGTTGCCATTAGATTTAATCCAAGTGGAAAGCAAGGCAGAAATCTGCACATGGGCACAGGTGAAACTCAAGGCCACTCAGATCAACCACAAAAGGAATTTTTGTACCTGCAAAATGCGTAGAGAACTAGGAGGTTTCCTATGATGCCAATGGAGCCAATAATGAGCACGCATGTTCCTACTGCATAAAGAACGTGGCCAGGGATGTCTACCTTGGTCACAGTGTGTGGCTGAGTACTCATGTTCAAACCCTGAATGGAAAACAGAGGAAAAGGAAAGCTTAGCTCATTTGGGACCCTTAGTCCATGGAATACACACTGAGGCTGTTGGCATTCACTGCCACAGCTCGTGCAAATCAAAGACACACTTCTGAGTTCTTTTCACATCCCCTGTATTCAAGTTTCCCTCAGGTAACTTTCATAATTTTGACAGTAGACATTTGTCTTATGAAAACAGCAACAGAGAAAACAGACTGGAAAAGACAACTAAAGAAGTTATGATGATGATGTGAAAAAGGCGAAGAAGCACGAGCATAAAACTTGCTCTGGGTAACTGCTGCACTTTGGGGCACAGAGCTGGCTGACAACACAGACCGACAGTAAGAAATAACCTGTCACAGTTTGGTTTTATTAGGAGCAATGATATCAATTCCCATACTTAAAAACATTAAATCCCCGGGGTTTCCTCAGGTTCACTGTCCACCATCTCAGTGCTACAAAACCTGGGAATTCCCCATGCAAAAGGGAGGAGATGAGAGGTATTAGCACAGCAGTAACACCGCCTGTGTAAGAAAACATACATTAAATAGTCTTTCACCTCTTTCACTGCCCCGTATCTTCAGCACATGAATATGCTCCCTCTGTTTTGGTTTTTTTTTAATCAAATTCAGATTTATCACTGGTTACATTCAGCAGCAAGGCAGCCTACAGCTAATCCACTCAGCTCACATTAGCATTAGCAACGAGAAGAGTCCAAATTGCCCCGTAGAGATTCTTATTTACCAAGTCACAAGCAGCTAAGTCTCACACTCACAATCAGACCTGAAGAGCTGAGTCAAAGGTGTGGCACCTTGCCACAGCTGGGCAACTGCTTCACTTCACCCCCTTTCTCCACTGCACAGCTCAGCAATGTGTGGAGTGTGTGGTAAGGCTGATTTTGGCCTGTGAGAGAGGAAATGGGTGACAGAACAGGTTAATATGATAACTATGTGATGATAACCACTTGTAGTATTTAAGCAGCCATTTTTATAATTATGAGTACACCCTTTCTTTCCTATTGCTACCTCCTAGTCTCCCATACTTCTGCTTCTCCTTTCTGCCCTATATTCCTCACTCATCTGTGAAGTTTACACAGGACAGCTCCCTCTATGTACAACAGTGCTAGCTGTGTGCATTGTTCCCCCAGCTCTGTGACCCTCTTGGGGCATGCCCTGGGGAGGCTGCATTTGGCAATAGGGAGGGCATGGTGAAGTGCATTGCACACTCTGAGCATCCACACAGCAGCGGGTCTGGGGAGGAAATGCTGACAGCAAAGCTCCCTGGACTGAAGTGATGTAGTAAAAAGTACAAAAGCTATGGCTTCAAAGCAGGAAGGTGCTTTCAAGCCTTCTTCATCTGACAGAGTCTACCCTTGACAGGATGGCTGCTGCCAATATGGCACTTCACCATACAGAGATCACATCACTTTTAAGTAGGAAGAAATGAAAAAGAACATTTGCTGGTGCTGGTTGCACCAGGGGGCTGTGACTGTTATTTCCAGCGCTTAGGCAGCAATAAAAAAATGTCACCATGTGTAGCATTTACCCTTGAGAAAGGTGTGAGAGGTCGTGTAAGAGCAGGCAAAGCACAGTGAGGTGGCCCAGCAAAGAAAGCAGTCATGGCTGTTTGACACTAGGCAGAGCCAGCACCATACTCCCAGAGCAGGGCTGCCTGGGCATGCAAGTTAGGCACAGTAATGCCTCTCCTCCTCTCTCAAACCCAACAAACTTAGCAGTGTGTGTGCACTGTGCTATAATCCTGCCACATTTCTGGCAATACATACTAAACTGGGGAGAAGGGAAAGGGGTTCATGTTTTTCTTCCTTTCCATCTTATCTGTTAGGTATGCCAAGGATTTGCCTCTACCTAGATTTATGATATAGAGGGCTATTATATAAATGTAATTCAGGGCAAGTAGTATTTGCCTGTCATATGATTTATGCTTTACTTCAACATATGGGAATTCACTGTTGCAGAAATTAATTTGGGAAATAGACTACGAATTTCACACCCAAAGATGTCTCACCTTATCTCTCTGCTGAAGAGAAGCTGACTTGGACATTTTGGCCTCGTTTACTCATTTGCGGGTGGTGAGCTGTGTCAAAAGCTGAAAAATATCTCACATGACACATTTGTAAACTCAGCTTACAGTTTGCTGGCAATACTGGATGAAATATAAATTATTGATGCTTACAAAGTGGAATCTGGAAGGCAATAAATACCAGAGATTACACAGAGCCTTCAATCTCAGTGAGAAGTTAAAGTGAGATTTAGTTTAGATTACACAAACTTTGGATCTTGCCTCCAGGGGAGTCCATGAAATACGACGGACACTTCTCCTGCAATGTTAATAGCAGTTAGATAATTTTCAGATCTGAATGGAAAGACAGCCACTCATTCCCTTCGCTGGTGTTACCCTGAGAGAGCAGGATGTGGCAGGCATCCAAGCTGCATGAAGCGTGGCAAGCTGACAAAGACCAAAAGCCATTTATAACAATGTCATTTGAATCTGAGAAGAAAAATGTGCATATCTATGTGTGTGCGTGTGTGTGTGTATAGATATATTACAACACAATAATCTCAACTTAGATAAAAAAATAATTTCATTAAACTGGTGGAAAACTTCTAAAAAAACAGGCTAAACAAATAGCTGTAGGCTAATCTAGGACAATATATACCTCATTTTACTCACATAATGTAGTTCAACAATTTGGCATATTTTCACAATAGAAAACTTCTAAATTTAAAATTCAAATACTCTTAAGGTTGAGAATTTAAAATCTACTCTGGTGAACAAAAGCTGTTTTTCTAATACAAACCCATCGTCCATACAGCATAACATCCAGCTGCAGACAAGTAGCACTATCATCAAGGTTTTAGGATATTCATTGAATTTAGGCCTTTTCTTTTTTCCTGCAGCGTCAACTCTGAGAATATGGCCTTTTATCAGTTTTAATTAACAAGCTAAATACTTGCCAATGTAAATATTTTACCATATAAAGATGAGGGTTAGAAATATGAAAAAGAAATTACAAGCTTAGGGATGAGCTATAAGGGGATGCTGGTTTTTGCAGATCTTCTCAAAAGCTGCTACTGTCCCATGCATTTCCTTTTTGTACTATTAGTTTCCCACAACTAGTAAGAATAAAATTAAATTATAGGAGAATATTCCAGGTTACTATGAGTGTTTTTGACCCAAGAAAACTCAAATAACTATTAAAAATCTTGCCAGATAACTAGGTAAGCAGGATGGCACACAACTACATACAGCAGGTTGCATTCTCTATAGACACTGATGAGTCTTACTGTGTTATGTCTACATCAGCCTCTCTTAGCACCAAAATTATGTATGAAATGGTCATTGACAGCTGCCATGAATCAGCAAAAGGTTAGTTTGTACTGTGGAGAAGATCCTGCCTTTTAGACTTAGTAAAGCACAGATTTTGTATCCATCTCATGACACCAAGATGCACTCTGCAATACTTTGACTTTATACTTTAGCCTGATCACTTTTATTTTATTAACTGCAAAATTAGTCCTCTTGAGAATGCAACTGAAAAAACTTTAAAAAAATAAAAGACACACGGGGAGAAGTTCCCCTTCAGCTGTTTCACACAGCTATGGTGACGTACAGTTGACCTGGATTAAACACCCCTATCTCAACTGTATTTATGGGTGCTCAGTATCATCACAGCATTGTAATGTAGAGTGAGAAGTCTGCTCTGTGTAAGCCTCAGGCTTGTTCCTTCTGTTTAAGGATGAGATTTAATATACTGATAATGAAGGAAGGCATTACATTTTATTTAATGAATATATTGAATATTTAATGGGTGAATTAAGTTTTCAAGTGCTTACTTGCAATGAGTTCACCGGTCTATTTTTCCCCCAGACTCGCTTTACCTCCCTCCATATTTTGGTTGTGGGACAGAATCCTGAGCACTTTGCTGAAGACACATCCATTTCCTGAGTGAACATGTCAAAGGCACTATCCAGAATGACCTGATTGTTTAGGTCAAAAATTCAAATGTAAACAAGCAGCCCATGAAGATGCCAGTAATTACACCAGGGCCAGCTTCTGGTGTACTTGCCGACCCCGTGCTAGCTCTGTGTGCTAGCTCCTTCTGAATTAATGTTACAATCATTTGCATTTTGACTCTATGAGCTGTTGGAGGACCTGACAACTCATATAAATTATGATGTGGCCTTACCCTTATATATGAAGTGACTATAACATCAAAACACTGTCACCTTCGTGGCTGCTTGGAGGGCTTTCCTGGCAGGGTAGCTAAGAGATCTGCAGGAAAATGGAGAGTAAGCAATTAACAGCTGTCCCTCAACTATCTGGCAAAGGAAGCAGGCACCACATATAAAAATAAACTTTCTCCCATATTTCTTCCAAAATTAAGATGGAAAACACGAAACAGATGAGGAAAGTAATTCTCAAATTTGATTTTTAGTGATAAAATGATGGCTAAATAATTAGAACCATCAGTTTCTGTTTTTAAGATGCTAAGATTAATAAAGAAGACAAAATTAATTAACTGAAGCAGAAGAAAAAAAATTGTTGTTAAAAAGAGGGCAAGGGCAGGTCCCCTTCAGTGGGTAGGGGTAGAAAATAATGGACTGAAATGGTTGTATGATTGGCATTAGGTGGACATAAGATTATTGAAAGCTTTATTTACCCTCTGGTTTTGCTCATGGGTGCAAGCTCATCCTGTGGAAATTATTTACACTGAAATGAGCTTAAGGAAGGACTTGCTTACATGGGGGATTAATGTGCACTAACAAGGGAATAAATTAACAACATAGCAGCCTCCCCATGTTGAACTGCTCTATGGATTCACAACATAGAAGTTTGACTTGCTGTTCAAAATCTTGTCTATACCGTTACACCTGAAAATTTTAAAGAAAAAAGACTAAATAGTGCTTAGGTATGTTAGCTGAGATGGGAGAAATCTGAGCGTGACAGCTAGCAGATAATACCTGCCATGTTCC